GGCTCCAGCAGACAGCTGGTCGTTGCTAGACGGGACGGGGCGCACGGTCTTCGAAGCCGTGCAAAGGCTCGAAGAGTGGTTCCATCTAGTGCGGAGCGGACTACGGTACAGCCAACGTCTTGTGTGCGCTTGATTCCCAAATACACAGTGTTTGGGTTTGCCTGTGAAGGAGTGCAGGCCGGGTAAGTTGATGAAAAGTGGCTCCCTACCACAAGCCTCACCGTCTTATTCTTTGGGGTTAACACTGGATATAAGGTGCGTGGATGGAGCTGTGGGTGGTGCAGCGCAAGCCACCCATGGTCCCACTGTAGGCGTCCTGTGGCTGTCCTATGGAGGTCACAGTGAGGCAAATCCGGACCCGGATGCCGCCAACCATATATCATCAGATGCAAATCGACTTCACCATGAGCTAGCACATTCTTTAAGTAGGTGACTTCCACATGCTGAAGCCACTGCCCCATTTACGAACCTTTTGCAACACACGCGGTCACCAGTACAAGCTTGTGGTACCAGATTTGAAGCGAAGCCCCAATCTCCTGTGCATTGAACAGCGAGCGGTCAATGCATGAAGCCTATGGTGGAAGCAAAGTCAGTGAAGTAGCTCAAATCATTGTTGGAGGTACATTTCTCTAGCGTTAGATTCCGAATACGATTATACACTTGCAATAATATCATGTATTTGCGAGTCCCAAATTACTGTGTTATACGATTAGGGTGTTGCCAGGACAACTATAGCTTGTTAACATTTCTGATCATATTTCAATGGAGTTATTTGTAGTAAATTTCCACTTGTTGCAATAATAAAGTACTCAGTTCAGGTTGGAGATAAACACGATCAGCGTTACAAATCAAAAACTTACATTGGTGTGGGTTGCTCGGACAAGGGCCATTGCAGATGCAGGAATAAGTGCGCCAAGCTCAGAAGTCGGTTCGGCTCAGGAGGAGAGGAAATCAGCAGTAGGCCGGCACATTGTAATGACGCATCGCTATCACGCCACCACCAACAGTCGCGTGTCAGGTGAGTATACCGCGGGGTCACCCGCACATAGGTGGATTCCAACTGGTGACCTCCGGATTACAAGATAAGCGCGTAATTCATACGGCCACCCGCCAAGCTGAGGTTTTAACGATTACAAGCTTGACTTCTAATCCAGAGATCGCGGGTTCGAGCTTGTGTAGGGAACCGCGCGACCCTCACAGTATCCTTAGCCCGTGTGGGTCATCGCAATGAGGCTGAACTTTACCGTGGAGCGACGGTTTGCGTGCCTCTGCGATCCATCGAGCTATGCAAGATGGTGCCTTTTTGCACCTTCAGAGCCAGTCATACCAGATTGATCAATGGTTAGAGGCCTGACAAACTCAGTCTCCTAGCCCAACAGTTTGCGGGTGACAGTTGGGCGAGAAAACGGAGTGCCAACGTTCGCGCATTTGTCACCAACCGTGCTTCGGAAAGACCCTGCGAGCATGTTACCAGGACCCAGCCGAAAGGTGATAATGATCCGACAGCAGGCGTGTCGCCAATGCCTGACCGGATGCTGATGAAATCGCGCGTCAAACATGACGTGCGTTGCCAGGCGCCGGATAGGCGGACGAAGACTGGAGTGCCCGAGCAACACGGTGAACTGGACGGATGGAGCGGACAAGTAGGTGGGAAGCATGGGCTTAGAGCCAAATCCGCCTGGTGACACCGACATATAAATATGAGCGTTCTCTACCCAAATGGAACTCTGGACTGCTGAGTCTTCTTCTGTCTTCCTTCCGGTCGGGTTTGACAAGGCGTCAAACGGAGCACGCGTAAGAGCACAGATTTAGCCGCAGGCGTGAATCAACCAGTCGAGAGCGAGAAAGGGCCACCGCGTTATAACAGGGGGTTGGAATGACGGTGGCACCTTATTCCATAAAATGGACTCTTTATAGTTCAGCACCAAACCCGCTGCCTTGCGGTCAGGTTTTTGAACCAAAGGCTTTGGTTGAGAACCCTAAAAGTTCTGCTGTCTACGCCTGAGCAACCTGACAGTATCCTGACAAAGCAAAATTAAGAAGCTTCCCTCGAAGAATTTCTTGATGCTCTGGCCGCCGCATAGGATAATCAACGGTGCTCTATCTGCTGCATCGAGCAGGGTGGATAGGGTTTGGATGCTACTGCTCAAACCATCCCGTCTGCTTATTCCCTCTCTTATGTTTTTTCTTCCTTATCGTCCCGTTCTAACTCTACTTTAATCACCAAGTTTTCAACCCCTATTTTTGGCACACCACCACCTTACTTTCTGTATCATCCTTCAGACTGACTGACACTTGTGAAAGCCAAATTCGTGAGAAGCAGGTCGGATTTCGTCGAGGTCATGGCTGCATCGACCACGTCTTCACTTTGTATCAGCTGTTAGGGCGCCGTTACATATATTAGAAGCCCACCGTTATCATGTTCCTCGAATGCAAAGGTGCCTTCCATTTGGTGGGTCCAGGTGCCCTTTGGGACTGTCTACTGATAAAATGTGTGCCCGAGAAATATGTAAATATTATCCGAGCATTATACGCGAGTAGCTCGGGTAGGCTGAGGACATACGGCGAGGTTTTGCAGCTCTTCAATATCTCCAGCGATGAGATAAGGATGCTCGCTGTCACAATTACTGTTCAAATTCGCTATATATATATATATATATATATATATATATATATATATATATATATATATATATATATCGCAATCTGCGTGCAGATATTGTGCCATCGGGACCATGGTGGAATAGGAAAACAGGGTTAGAGTAAAAGGGGGAAAAACAATTTTTTGGTTCATTTATTCTACTCAGTTTTTGAACTTTTTGATGCTTTTATTGAGGGAAGGGGAATCATCGGAATAGGCTGACATACCACTGAGTTCGGCTTCGCACCATGACTTCCAACGTTTTCAACCAACTGCACTCAGCATCCTTGGACCCCATCCAGGGAGTTGGGAGGAACCAACCGTGGCCAGCTGTTTTGGCAGCTTTTTCATCCTGATTCTCCAAGTTGTAGGCCGTCCACCATACCGCCTCATCCAGCTCTGTCTAGCGACCACGAACAAGGGACGACGCGTAAGACGCTGAAGGGGAATACGTAGTGCGTGTCTGATCCATCGTAGTTGGCGCAGCGAAACAAACGCCTCGAGGGTGTGGCTGTCTTCACCTAAGACACGCTGTATGGCTTCAGTCTTAGTTACGTGGTTCAGCCACCACACACGGACGACGGACCGCAAGCAACGGTTCTCGAAGACAGTCGACGCAGCTCATCGGAACGAGCAGGCAACGTCTCACAACCATACAACAGTACAGCGCGGACAGCCACATTATAAATCCGTCCTCTAATGGAGAGACGGACGTAACGGCGACGCCATAAATGCCTCAACCTCCAGAACGCGAGACGAGTACTTGAGATACGCATCGAAATCTCGTTTCCAATAGTCCTACCAGCAGTTATACAGCTTTCAAGGTAAACAAAATTCTATACCACCTCTAACATTTCAACATCGATTGTGAGTGCAGGTGGGGGGTATGGCAGTCTTGAAAAAGCGCTTCGCACTTGGATGGTGAAAAGTGCATGCCATACTTCAACGCTTCAGTCGCCAGGCGTTAAGTTCAAGTTGGACGGCCTGCGGACGGAACGACTTTTTGACTTGGAGAATGTAGACGATATTGCCCTCATCTTTGACAGGTCACAAACTTGCTAAGCAGCACTGTACTGATTACCAATGGCTACCAACCGCATCAAGCTTTGCTTTGCACCATCAAGTGCAAAGCTTTCCTACAAAATTGGCATGGACCACCT